TTTTTTAGCTTCGCTGTAGCTTACTTGCAATGAATTACCGTAGTTACTTTGCTAATTAACAAAACTGCTCCTTGTTTACCAGAGTTTAGAGCATATCTGTATATCTAAGCTTTAGCTTATTTGTTTAGTTCCTTTTCTCTTTGAAGGCTTGTGTGAAAAACGTTTTACATTCATTTCGGAAGCTAGAATATCTAGATATATCAGATTATTGATTGCAATAGAAAAAAAGGTTCTATTTTCAAGAGTGTCTTTTACGTAAATAAAGACATGAATGACCATCGCTGTTGTGTTAAGCTTATGTTCAAGCCTGAATTTTTTCAGGCGTTACTTTGACAACTGCGTTAAGTTGTGTACATAAATGCAATGATCAATCGCGTCTTTACGTCTTTCTCCACCGTTCAAATTTAGGCGTTTCACTTGGTCACTTGCCGTCTCTTTTACAATGGAAGCAATATTAGTTTCTCGATTTGTACATAGTGTGTCCAATTCGCACAGCCTATTAAATATCACGAGCAATTTATTTATTTCGTGATGGATGTTTGCTTGTTATGTGTACATTAGAGAAGAAGGAACTTAAATCCACCTTAAGAATTCTGATGCTGAGAAAGGTGTCTAATTGGTGCAAACATTTGCATCCTTGTTTGTAAGGAGGTATCAACTTTCAGTGCTATATTTTGCAGGTGGCAATGGTGGAAATTCAACTAGAACCTGGCATCCCTCAAGAACTATTGATAGCATTCAGTGTGATGACTACCGTTCTTATTTCAGTACATGTCTTTGCACTCATGATATCTGTCTGCATTCTTCCGAATATCGAGGGAGTGGCAAATATTCAGTGTCAGGGAACTCAAATGGTACGTGATTCACCACATGAAAAACTACATACGCACATAGAGATTGCATGGATCTTCTCAACAGGTCTTGGGACACTTCTCTTCTTGGCAGAGATTGCAATACTCTGTTGGGTGAAGTTCTACAATTACAGCAAACCTGCGGCTGTAGCAGCTTCTGTGGTGCTGGTGCCTGTGTGTATTGTGTTTGTTTGGTTTGCTATTCATTTCTACAGATCTCTTGTTCAACACAAGTATGAAAGGTCTTTTCAGGGAATTGAGGAACTTCAGCAGATCGCTAACCAGCTTCACACAGACACAGGAACATCACCAAGTTCACCTGCTCCTAGTCCATGCCCTAATCACAGGGTCTAACAAAACGTTTACTGCACATTTTCATGGTCTTGTAATATAACTAACAACTGGATATACGTTGAGAGCTCATAATTTTAAACCATTTTAATTAAAGAACACGTTTTAAAATCTCCAATATGGATATACACTGCAAAGACATGAATTATCATTGCAGTTATGTACATAACTTACTGGTAAACAGCTGTGAAAATAAAGACTGAAAAATGATCATTCATGTCTTTGCATCTTTCTCTGTAGTTCAAATATATGGTCTTTCATTTAATCACTTGCATGGCTATATACACTCAGGAACAAATAGTCTGTAAGATCAGTTTGTTAAACCGTGGTGTACCATAAATTTAGATCATTCTTTCATTTATAAGCATGGTCTACATCATCTGCACTTGTTCAAGGATAGAAAAAGTTAAAGTTCAGGGCTTTGTGGTTTGGCGACCATGTGTAACATTAAAGTTTGAAACATCTTTATATTCTAGGTAAAAGGGACTTAAACAAGAAAGTATTTATTTTATTTTATTGATAACAAGTACATTATTGTATTGCTCTTAATAACTGGAGCATAGTAGAAGTTGCTGTACAAAAATAATATTAAGTTATTAACATTGTGAAAGGCTTATAACAGGCTGCCATTAGTGATTACAGTGAACAGTAAAGAATACGTCTAGCTTCTTTTAAACCTGATTTTAGTTGTAATATGATTTTATTTGCTGCCATTACATCCAAGTTTTCCAATCATCATTCAATGACCTAACAGGCTACCTCTTGTATAACTCATAACATTATTCTTTCTGTGGTTTAGAAGGATTGTTTGTTGACGTTTTGCTACTGGAACTCAAGAATGTCTTGTTCATGAAGACAGATAGTTTAAAAGTTGTACTACTTTTAGCCAGGTTGTTTTCTTTGTTTTAAACTACACTGATGTTCATCACAATATTGTTTAATTTTAGCTGCGGTGTACAGGGTTCTTGTGTATTATATCACATGCCTGTGGCTTCTGTTGGTATATATGTACATTTTTAGAAAAAAAAGGGAACTTAATAACTATCAAGTTATATAAAATTAAAGCATCAATTTATCATCACTGCTGTTCATCCAGAAATGTGTCTTCTGCATCTTTGACTACACCTTTTGTATCTTGAAGTTTACACTGTATTTTAAGAAAAAAATACAAACAAATTTAACTGATTTCTAATGAAACAAAATAGGAAAAAAACCTAACACTGTGCTGAGTGTTGTCATTGATGCCAATAACATATCAGTGAAACATTTGGTCTATATGGGACAATTTTCACCAAGGTTATGAGTAGGGACGACGGCTAGATGCAGCAAGGTAAGTTTGTACACAACTTTTGGCAATAGTTGTTCTTATGAGGTAGAAATATAAATGACTTGAGTAGAGACAAACAATCATTGTCTTTTTCACTCAATGCTGTTTACTCAATTTCTTCCACTCTCCCAGACCCATTTGCCTGAAAAGCAGCTGGTAATCAAGTCTACACATCACAATGTACTAAGCAATTTTAAGACCATGCTAAAGGAGCTACACGTAATTTTCTGAGGCATATTATGAGAGAGATGTATTCAAATTACAAAGCTGTAGAACAATGAGTAAAGATTGGTCTTGGGTAACACCCCAAATAACAGTAAACAGCTGCCAGAATGATGACCAAGGCAGTAAAATCTACCATGTTCATCTCCTGAATGACATACAGTATGATTGACACTAACCTCGGGTAGTGGGTATGTTGTTGGCTTGGGGGCTTCATGTCGACCAAAATCTTCAACAGTGCCACATTTTGGAATGTCATCACACCACACTCCAGTGTATAACTGCCCTCGGTCAAGGTAGAAAAATTTTCCTTTTCCATGTTTTTTGCCATCTTTCCACTGACCTTCATATCGATTGTCATTTGCTGTCAAAAGAACACCAGCCATAATTGAACATTCAAGTATGACCAAACTGGATGGTGCAACTTTGTGAAAAGTCTTTGTTGTGAATTGTTAATTCATGTAAATCAAGTATATATTCTGCTTACATACATTTTAATACAATCCTCAGAGGCTTCAGTTGGGGCAAGGATTTCAATATACAGTATACTGAATGATATAGATAATGGCTCACTTATAATGTGGAATTTTTAACATCAAACCCAACCTTTGAATTTGGTCCAGATGAATACAGGGTTGATGTACTGTGAAAAATCAAAGGGCCTTCGAAGAGGTAAAAGCGACAAGTGACACGACCCTGAAAACCAGTGACATGGGAAGTTCTAATCAGTGACAAGCAAATCAAATGTGCCACTAAAATTTGACAGCCACATGAGGAGCACTAGGAAAGGCAGCAACATTGACCCTTTTTGGACTTTTTTCCTATTTAGAAATTGTAGTCTCATCAGTCAACAACAGGAATGGAGTGCTGCCTTGTTAAATGGTTCCAAGACAGCAATATTAAAATTAGCTAGAGCTCACCTAGCCTGAGCATTCCTTCACCATTTTTCATGTTATTGTACCATTCTCCCTCATAAACTGCACCATCTGAATAATACATTCTTCCCCAGCCACTGCGCTTGTCTGCATACCACTCCCCTTCATAGTATTCGTTATATGAGTAGAAATTAGTTCCATAACCCTGTGAATGAAACACTATTTGTTTTCAGTTAAAGATAAAAATCAAGACCTACATATACCAAGAAATTATAACTTGGACACAGGCTCTACATGTACTGAAAAATTCCTTTTTATGAAAGAAGCTAGATCTCTTGACATGTATGTTATACTACGAAAATCACTGAACTGTGGAATGGGCTTGAATTTTTGTACAGTGACCCATCACACTTTCTTTTACTTTCTTTTCACTTACAGTCAACTCACAACAACACGAAGGAATGTGGGTGGGCCAGCAAAAGAAAGTGTGTGTGGCCGCTGAAGAAAAATTCGAGCCAATTCAGTCTATGTTCGGTGATACTGGAAACACAAGAAAAATAGTTCTTTGCATTGAGTGAAAGACATGGATACATACATGTCTTTTATCATTTTTCCATCCTCCAGAGTAAACCTTTCTGTATCCAGCCCCCTCAGGTAAACTATATGTACCAAAGCCACAACGATGGTCATCTTTCCAGTCTCCATCATAAATGGCTCCTAACTTCTTCCATGTCATGGTCCCCTTTCCTAATCAAATCAGTACATTTGAACCTTGTTAAAACATGTACAGAAACCAGTTTGCCAAATGGGAAGATAATATGATCTACTGTAGGTACATGTTTCCTATTAGGGTTCAGTGGCAGATCCAGACCTTGAGCTAAGGGGGGTGGGGTGGGGGAGTTATTTTGCTTGCCCTACCGACTTTTCTTCCTTTTGCCATTTTCTTTTTTTTTTTAACCCAAAATAAGGGGGGCCCAGGGGGCGGGCCCCTCTCCTAGATCTGCCACTGGGGTTGTAGAAGGCAACACTAAGAGGCCAAGAAAACACAACCCAAGGGAATCCAATCCAAAAGGTGAATACCTTCATGGAATGTTGGGAGTGTACTTGCTGGGAGTACTTTAAGTGAGCTAGGGTGAAGCCTTGGGGGAGCGGGAAAAGAAAAAAGTTAAGGTCTTCAGTACCCCCCAGATTCTTCAATCTCTCACATACATAGGCTCGATTTCCACCGCTTTCTCGAGTCCGGTCTACGTTCCTCCCCGAGAAGAGACGGCTGGATGCGTGAGCGGCAAAGCATGTCTGTGACGTATCTTCAAAATGTAATTCTTGCTGCGCTTCAGGTGGCTGGAAATTTCATCTGATGACAATCATAGGCAGGCACACATAACACCTACGGCTCGTAAAATTTGTGGCGTTTTTTCACATTACTGTTGCGGAAGGGCTTTCCATGCTGTGTTCTATAGAAGAGTTTTTTTTTTTTCTTTTTTTTTTT